AAAATCAGTCAGCGAATCAGCTTTATAATCTATCCCTAAGATTTTCCAACCATTAAGCGAACAGCAGAGTAGTTCGAAACGCAGTCCAATTGCAAAACAAAAAGAACCTCAATATCAATATTCCCAACGACCTGGAAAAACGATTATGATTCGCTGTGATTCTTTAATAATCATGAACGCTAAAGACAATTCTGACCTTCCTTCCAGTTTGTAGGACAAAAATGACTGGATGCCTCAGAACGAGCTAAACAGGAGCTTACACTCCTCAAAATTGAGCAACCGACGATACGCGGCTCACTCAGGGAAAGGATTCCAAGCACCAAAATCATCCATGACTCCTTCATTTAATGTTCTTTAAAACTACTGATGGCCAGTCGCTTTTTTTAAACCAGATGATGCAATAATACCGCTTTATATATCATATCCTGGGTGCGATCTTATCAGGTATTCCACAATGGATCAACCGAGGCGTTCTTCGCGAAAAAACATCGTCACGCAGGGTGTCCCGGGAAACACGGAGCTATGGACTTAGAAAACCCTGTGTGAACAGGCTGTCTGTCCAGTTTTCGTGTCTTAAGGTAACCAACCAACCTAAGTTGTTACACATTCACATAAAAATCACCCAGACAAGCAAAACGAGGAAGTTAACGCGTTTCGAATCAAAAGCATAAACTTCCTATGTATGAACTCTTTGGTTTAGATGGAAAAGTTGCGTGAACTATGTAAAGCCAATGATATTCATCTGATGGGAGTATCTAAAACATGTCTTTGCGAAGCAAGGACAGGATAAATAGCAATTGGGGGCGGAGCCGTCCTGTACCTTAGATCTTGGTAGTACATCAAGAGTACATTAGACAGTTTATCAATCTTAATGAATCCGTATGGTCCCCAGTGAGATTGTCTAACACTTTGAAGTGTCTAGTTGAAGTCATCTACAGGAAGCCCACTGCTGTCAGGAGTCTGCAAATCAGACACTAGAGGCATTATCCCGCTACACTCGTTTCTGACCCACTCGTATCCCGATTCTGGGAGACTTCAAACTCTCTAAAATCAATTTCGCTGGACATATGTGCATTAGATGTGGCAACGCTACTGAAGCTCTGTTCCTTAACGTCACTGAAGGTTGGGATTATCTAAAAATGCGAGGTATGCAACGTCGTAGACACATGGTCAGGCTGCATATTTACAAATGAGGAATTCCTTAGTGACAACCTCATAATCCTGGCTCTCCTGGGAAAGTTATCACGTTGTCATAGCCCTCAGATTTACCAGCAAAGCTGAGCTACGATATCCTATAGACAACAGGCTCTGGAATTCCAAACGGTTGGATGTGTCAGCTTTACAGATCTACAGCAAGCGGGCTGGGAAATACACGCTCAACTTGATGAGGACGCTCACCGGGATTTCTTTCTGCATATGATCCTATGTGCTATAAAACAGTCTGGATACACTGCGGCTCAACTCGTTTATGGAACGTTATTTCGACTTCCAGGAGAATTCGTGGATCCTTCATCCTCTTCACTGAACATGGATCTAACCTCCTACACGAACAGGCTTACAAACGCAATGCGTTCAGTCAAACTTGCTTCCACTCGACCTCAATCAACTGATGTTTTCGTTCAACCTGACTTACCATATAGTACACACTTTTCGTTCGTCGAGACTCGCATCGACGACCATTCGAATCAGCATACGAAGGACCCTTCAAAGTTCTTCAACGTGAATCTAAGTACTATATGGTCGATAAGAACGGAACAAACGATAGCATCAATATCGATCGTTTAAAAGCAGCGTATTTAGAAGGAACTCCTATTCACATCGATTTTCCTTCGGTGCAATCGCACAACACGACTCCTACACTCATAATTCCTCAACCAACAACCAACACTAGCGATGATACTCCGAATGTTTCTGAAAATAAACTTAAGACGACGCGTTCTGGAAGAAGAGTAAGATTTCCAAAACATTTAAACGACTTCTGCACGTAAGGCACTATTCGACATTTTATATTATCTCGATCTTTCTTTTTACGATATATAATATTTTTTTAAAAAATTTTAATATGTTTATATATTTATATTTTAATGTAAAAACAAACAAACAAAAAACATATAAAAATTATTTTTTTAACGCTATTATGTGTGCTTGAGTTTATTTTCCATTTTTTTCGCCGACATTTTGTTTTTACGCACATACGAGTGCATTTTGACATGCACTTACATTATCATTTTTTCTTTTCCAGGACGGCTGGAAAAGAACGATACAGTTTACGAGGAGTCGAAATTTTCTTTGTCACCTTTTCTTTTTTTACTATGTTGTACCTCAGTCCCATATAGTAAGGAAAGACGAACAGACGCTGCTAAATTTAGTAAGCTATCAGCAAAGTATTTACCAACGACAAACTCGTTGGGTTTAAACTTCTGGCTGGCCACGTCTTAGGGTCTTCACTGCCCCACTAGGGGGGAGTGATCTATAGCGGTAAATAAATCCCCAAAATAAATAGCTCTAAGTTTTCGACATTCGATGCTGATCATATGTTTTAGTGGACTTGTGGAACTATGGTCTACTATGATATTAGTACTGCTCTAATAATAGACCTAATCCTAAATTTGTAGATTTGTCATGATATAACTGCCTAATCTATAAGATCTTACTTGGAAGTCACACATCGACTACACCAACTCACTGTATCGTATCAATTACCAATACATGATGTAGAACAAGGCTAGGCTAGAGAAAGAATAATATATTTAATATGAATAGAAGATATAAGGTAACATTCAGCAGAAACCACGCCTGCATGGCCGAGCCATGCCATCTGATCAACTCCAGTCCATTCAATTCATTGTTCGCGCCATCTCCATTGTTAGGTATTTCTCCGCGTTAAATATTGAATATCTATTTTCTGAGTAGTCTCGTGTTCACAGCTTTGTGGATTGTGTGGCTATTGTCCAATGCCACTACAGACTCATCTAGCTGAAGGCGCTCGGTCATGCATCCGCACCAGATCACGTGTGGTAACGCTGTGCTTAACATATACCGCAATCGCTAGCCAGATTAGATCAGAGAATTCCGATATATTGGTAATCGCCAAATACACTCTTCCGATCTCCTTGACTCTGTCTTTTGATTTCTCTGGGTGGGAACGAATTATATTAGAAGGTGTCACTGGTAGCAGCGTTGTCGAACACTGAATACCTGTGTCATCTTCAATATATTCCTCATCAGTAAGCTTAATATATTTATCTTGTCACTTTTGATGGATTGGTATAGTTCATATTTAGATAATCGATCGTTTAGGGTCAGGATAGACTTCATCTCTTCCCAGACTATGGGGTATCTCACTGTGGTCCCTCATGGTTCAGTACGAGGACGTCTAACTTATATAAATGATCTCCCATAGCAGGTACCGTCTGATTTATTACTTTTCGCTGATGATGTAAAACTCTGGAGAGAATTTAGCAACTAGAATTATAAATTGGCACTTCGAGAGAATCTGACTCGACTTCAAAAATGCGAGGAAAAAAACGGGCTTACACTTAACACTTCAGAGTGTAAGTCAGTCCAGCTGAGACATGTTTCAGACTACGAATACAAATTCGGTGAATCGCCTCTATGGATATCCCACGTTGGAGAAAAATCTGGATTTTTTAGTACTCTATGATCAGAATTCTTCTGAGTACCTACTTCAGCTCAGCCTCAACACAAATCTCAGAGGTACCACACAGAAACTGAAGATAACATAGCAGAAGGTACTGTAGGCATCTTCCGCCCCTTAATATTAGTCAAGTGCTGAAATTATCTGCCAGCTAAGTTTGTTTAAGCGACTTTTCAGGAGTCCTTCGAGAAAAAACTTGGCATATTCCCAAAGAATAATGAGAGTATCTCACTATAATGTACAAATATTTTTTCTATTTTGTCGTTTAATATACTGGGATTCCTACCTGGTTGCATCAGTGATCCACTCCTACTAAGTATGGAAGCCCGTTAAGCGAAAGCATTTTCTATTCCGTTCAGGACCATTTGAAACTATCTGAACATAATTTTAGTGTAACACTCTTGAAATGTTGCGTTACACTGGTTTTGTATAGTACTTTTGTAATGCATCGAAATATGAAATCATTCTATGTGCTCACTAAGTCATTTTACTTATCCTCTTTTTTATAGTAGCGGAAATATGAATGACCTTTGCAGAATAATAGTAAAGATTACTAAGATCACGGCAAACAAATTCAGTTTATTCATGTCTAGAAATGAATACTGAAACTTATTATGCAATTTATCAGGTTTTCACCACGAGCTGATATCTACTATAATTCGATGGACATGACTATTCATAGTCATGTTAATGGATGAATTTCGCCCCCTGATATGTTTGTATATACAGACATTCATATATATATTTTAACCGGAATATGTACATCAAGTTTCCTAATGTTAAAGTGCTTAGTGTGCATTGGTTTACTTAAGAGTTATCTTCAAACATGTACCCTATAACCTATAATTAGCTTTAGTATAAGACATGAACACTCGGTTCCTCAAAAGTTCTAAGCACAACAAATTTCTAAATGCAAGAATTCCTGTTGCTATTTAGGTCTCCGTGCGATAATGCAGCATTTCTAAAAATGTAATTAAAGTCCTCTGATATGATTTTCAAAAATCATGTGTTATACTTTATGTTGTGCGCTTTCTGTTACAACATTTAATCTTTTCTTTGTAGTTTTCCTATAGCTCAACTCTGCGGTAGCGTATACATTGTCGAATTCCATTGAGTGAGTTTACTTTACCTTCATCTAGAATTATGACTTATAATACCATTTATTGTGTACAATAGTCCCTAAATTTTTCCGTCCATGTACGTTCAGTCCGTTTAGGCAGAATTAATATACACCAGTGATTGGATCTTCAAGGCACTGTAAATCCCAATAATTGTTATAGGCCACCTGTTCTTTTATTCCTACTACTCAAAACTTCCTTTCTGTCCCTTTTAAGTTCTGTGAATGGATCTACCTGCTGTATTCAAGGTAATTGCGTTCATTTTTATTAAAGTTTTTTAGTCTACTTTAGAGCTTCCTGTTGCTGGATTTACGGTCACTGTTGTACAGATAGAGTTTTCTGACCACTTAATGGTACTTATTTCACGCAACGGAATGATTGGGGATATTGTAAATCACGTATTTGATGAAATATTCTTTCAGGTATTGTCCCAAAAAAGCAATCTACCGACAGTAAATGGTCATGCTTCTCATGATCTTGATACTCGGACCCTGTTTGGTCCTGACAAAGTGAGCCTTCATGTTATTTGTACATTATTATTATTATTATTAGCTTTATTCAATATTATATTTTTGGTACAATGTGGAATTCTCAGCGCAAAGTATTTCAACAAGTTTCCGTTTCTTTCTTCTTGGTCGGTCCTGGCGATAAATATTGAGTTATCGCCAGCTAGATGTTAGGAGTTAAGTAAATGAACATCTGAATAATGTACATTCTTTTCGTTGTATATTGCCAGCAACCACATTGTCTCTTATTGATTTTTTTGTAACTTTGACAACGAAAGGTTGTACACTTTTCAGAAACGCAGCAGAATAGCTTATGCGATTGATAAACATAATGATATATTAAAACAAACGAAAAATAGATAACTTGTTGAAATATCTAGAAGGCAGGAACAGGTAGCCCAGATGCTCAAGCAGGCCGTCCTTTTTATGTTTCTTTCGCAAAGAGTTTGGAACGTCTGGTACTATATTGTAGTACACGTCATTACATGTTTCGCTCATATCTTTAAAAAGTTAGGAGCTAATAAGCTTCCAAAAATAGACACAGTTAAAAAAATAAGTCAATCGAATAGACATCAGGATTTACTTGCTAAGATTGACCTTGTCACATCTCTTTTCATCTCTATCTTTTTATGATTTAATACACAATTTATAATTGGACGAGTAAGACGATTCGATATAGATGCGTATTTCAGTCGGAATTTTAGTTTCAGAAACCTCACTATCTATAAATGTACTGGGTTGTTGCTTTAGTGAATATTTAAAATATCTCTTTACCATTTTAAGATTTCAAAAAGTAATCTAACGTCTGTAAATGAACCTGCGTTACTCGCTTTCAATGTAAGTTCATGTGAAAATAATGTGGGTCAAATAAAATTACACTTGTTACACACTAGTTCAAAATTATGTTTGCTTTTCATTGTACCTACCTTCAAATGTATAAAGCTGAGAATTTTGATAAACTACGGATTTCATGTATGCCTCATTCCAGTTTTGCTTACAGATATATGATCTATTCTTGTGCAATGCATCAATTGTCCTTTAACATTTTATTGTTTGTAAGTTACCTAACAATTCTATCTTATTCTCCTTTACAGTTGAATACTTGTCTTATCACCAGGCTGATCACTAAGATTTTGGATACTTCAAAAACAATACTTGTTAGTACTGATTTCAAAGAAGACATTTGTTTTAGTGATACTCAACTAATTTGTGATATCTTAAAAAATATAAGATCGACATAACATAATGTTTTTGTTATTGCTTAACGTTTGTGATTGGTTACGTATGCACATGTATAAGGCCCTCTAGTTCTCGTAATCTCGTGGAAGATGTTTTGTTACTAGTTTTGCTGAAAATCAAATACTTAAACTGTGTAATTTGAAATACAGCGTCACGTCAAATAAGCATTATTAAGAGACAGTTTATCAAAAAACATGCGAACATCCTACTTACAACCTATAACGTTTACTAAGGATAATACGCCGTATTATAAATGATATTTGAACTATTTTAAGAGTTGTTTTATTCTGGATTTCGATTTCTGATTCATTCATAGGGTTTAAGTAATTTGATATTTACGTCCAGATGCTTAACAAAATCAGAAGAAATATTGACCCCCACCACACACTGCAGATTGTAAAAATTATGCTCGAGGAGAGCTACCGGATCCTTGTTTGAGTCGTGCATATATTTTATTACGTTGTTATCTCTTTTCTGAAACACCGGCTGATAGTTGTTATATTTCATGATACCAAGGCTGTCTTCATTTCGTTAAACAGGACTTTCTTTTGCGTATGACCATCAAAAAATAGTGTTTCTGAAATGTCCATGCACATCCTCTACATAAATACCTCGTACAGTGAGGAATACAATGACTTCTGTCCATTGTTTCATTTCAACAGCTCAATCACCCAGGTTTGCTCTATCTCACAGCTCCTCTTTAATATTCTGGAAACCATTCTCAAGTGAGTATACAGTGGTAGTTTGTTACTCAGAAAAACTCCACAACCATTGGTGTGTGAGTAGCGTCGTTTTACTGTGTAACGATATACAGGGAATCAATGCTCGTTATTATGTCATGCATTTTACACCTAAATGCAGAGTACTTTACAGAACCAGCATAATTTTTCTTTTTCACTCGCTCTTTATTGTGAACTGCTGAGAATGGTCCGGGGATTCATGTATCTGATTAGCTGTAAAAATTCTTATGGTGTAGTAAGTAAGGTCAATCAGCAATGTGTCCGGGGATATTTATGGAAAATTATTTAGTCCTGTTCTTTTGGGTCCCCATCTTCCATAACTTGGACTAAATATATAAAAATAATAAATGGTTCGTTCATGATATATCGCTGTGAGACGAAAGGTAAGATTGACAACTATTTGTCCATTATGATTCTTAGGACGGTCAGTCGAAGATTATTCTGCCTACTATTTTCTTATGTTACAAAATGTGGCTAAGAATATAAATGATCAGGGATTCTGTTGTATTACCAATTACATTTGTCGTAAAAGTGAGATACGTCTTTTAAACGGACGAAATTTACATTCATTGTTTTCTTAGCAACACGGTTTAGTTACTCTAGTTCACTGTTCAGTTAATCTGGGCTTGGCATGCTAAAATATTAGTTTTCGTCCATATTTGTTAACTGCATTATTGGTCTGGTGAAAGAGGTGGTCTTCTCCATTAACTTAATGATGTCTAAAGTATATTTTACTGTAACAGAAACATTTCGTAATTATTGAACTCAATTCAGCTAAAATAAGCCTGTATTTGTAAAATCTCAGCAAAAGAATTTGAAGTAAATCCAACATTTTGCCTGGCAATCTGGTCCAAGCTCTTTCAAGGAAAATATAATCAAACAACAAAATTATTGAATATAAATAGGTACATGGTTCTCTGGTTTACGGTATACTGAATAAGTCATCCAATCAACGTTAACAATGTTTAAAGTAGGTATTTACATTAGTGTGTAAGAGATATGTGGTGTGAAACGAAAAGTGTTAAGATAACAGATTGTGTGTATACATAAGTAAGAAGAGGATATTTCATTCACTATATACTGTCTTCGGTCGGTAGAATATTAGGAAAATATATATATGACATGAAACAAAAATGTCACAACATGCATAAAATGAAGATAAATAAACAAGATAAAAGACTGAATTCAAAGAGGAATGTATTTGTAGTTGAAAGTTTATGTTATTTTAATGTTCCAGTCAATTGTTTAACATATTCAGATAAGATAACTGATTTGAACTGTTGAATGAATTATCTATTGATTAGTTAATATGATATAGATAGCTAGAATGGAATAAGGAGTTCAGGTTTACTTACTAATTATTAGCTGCCATGGGACAGCTAGTTGTATTCCATCTCTCCTATTAATACTGTCTGGATTAGCCCATATATGTAGGGTTTCGGTCGTTAGTCGTTCTTTGTAAGAATTAAACCCTTTCTGAATCATTCTTGCGCCAATGAAATAAATTGTATGACTCGATTCTATCGAGCGTAATGCTATCGCTGATTTGTTCTCAAGTTTTCTTACATCATCTGAGGATTTAGGAATATGCTTTAAGTGCAGTTTGTGTTTCTTCACCCTCACAGTTAGTTGCCTTGATGTTTCACTTACATAAGTTGCATTACAGTCATTACATTTGATTTCATAAGCACAATTCTGTTGTTCTTTCTTGTGAATTGCATCTTTGATTCCTACTAGTTTTGATCTTAGAGTATTATTTGTTCGAAAGAATACTCTTATGTTTTAAAGAGTTAGAATCCTTCTGATCTCTTTTGAAATACCTTTACGATGTGGGATCACCACTGTGTTGATTCATTCTTTTCGCTTAACTCTTAATAATATCATTTTGTTTTTCATTCTTGACTATTTTTTAGTAAAATCCTTCGGATAATTATTCATCATTAGAGTGGATATAAATAAATTCATTTCCATTTTTATATCATTTGGTTCAGTGACAAGTTTTTTGACTCTGATGATCAGGTTTTTGGCTACTGTCACTTTGGTAGAGTGTGAATGCGCAGACTTAAAATCTACAAATTACCCTGAATATGTCGGCTTCCGGAAAATACTAGTTTTTAAACAACCATTACACTTCCTTTCAAACAAGCAGTCTAGAAACGGTAATTTGCGTTCAGGAGATTCCAACTCTTTAGTGATTTTGATTTTGTCATAAATGATGTTGACACGTTGAAATAGTTCGTCTAAACCATCTCGTTTTATAATGACAAAAGTGTCGTCTACGTATCTTAACCAAATCTTCGGTGGAATGGAACACATTGAGATAGCACTTGTTTCCAGTGAATGCATGAATAAGTTAGCTACAATTGGAGAAACCGGTGATCCCATAGCTACACCTTCTGTTTGTCTGTACAAATCTCGAAAAGTGAAAACAGTTGAATGTAAACATAGATCCAACGCTCTAATAATGTCTGAGGGGTCTAGAGGACAACGTTGTTTAAGTTCAGTGTCAGAATCTATGAGGTTATATACAATATCTAAAGCTTTATTAACAGTAACATAAGTGAACAATTAGCAAACATCAAAACTTGCCATTATTTCATCCTCTTCTATGCGGATATTACTGACAATGTTTTTGAAATCATTAGAATTTTTTATTCTATATTTGATTACGCTTTCATATGGTTTAAGAATTTTGGCTAGGTATCTAGAAAGATTATTGGTTGGTGAATTTATCAACCACAGGTCTTAGTGGGATATCTGTTTTATGCATTTTCGGTAGGCCATAAAATCTACAAAGGTTATTGCTTTTGGGTATAAAGAAAACCATAAAGCTGGTCCCAGTTTGGATTTTAACTTCTGTAGCATTTTGGCCCTTTCAGCTTCCAACTTATTTAAAGTAGCTCCACATTTGTTCCGCGGGCAGTATCACAGCTCTCACACAAATCAGTGTTAACTGCTACTGGTCTCATTTTTATTGTGTCGCGCATATGTATTTGGTGCATCCTTGTACCAATGTTTATGTGTTCAAATAGTAATAAATTCCTGACAATGGCCTCTAAAGTCTTAACAAATTACAAACAGAACTTACTTAATTATTACCTCTAGTTTCCTTTGAATCTAACTAGTCCACAAAACGTATGCACATATAAATAATTCCCCAGCCAATTCAGAAATCAAATTCTTTAGGTAGTTGAAAATATTTTATACGATTAACTTGTTAGATGACAGCTAGTTTTAACTTGAGAACCGCAATTATAGCGAAAAGAATTGTTGTACATAAAAATATGTCCATTATCGCGGTCATAATAGAATACAATGCTCAAAATTAATATATTGAAGTAACCATGATGGTGTACATGAAGCTAGTAATAATAATAATAAAATTGTGTACAAAAAGAAACAAAAGATAAAAGGCGGCAGTACATTACGAAATGCTTCAGTTCTGAATTGATATGTTTATATATATATATATATATATATATATATATATATATATATATATATATATATATATATATATCAGTCAATAAATGCATACATAGTATAACAGTGTTATTTATTAGACTGGATTACGTGGAGTTAATGCTACTACTACTAATTCATTTGGCACAATGGTAACCTCTTCAATGCTAGTTGAATTTAAATTCTGTTGAACTGGTAAAACAACTGGTGTATTATTATCTTTTCGTTTAACCTCTTCAACTATTGTTCGTATTGTTTTCTCATCGTCTTTGTAAGCTGGATTTGTCACAGATTTCATTCCATCATCATTCTGTTTAGTTTTCATCAATTTTCTACCTTTAAAAATTTTACGAAATATACCTTTACTTATACTTGTCGAAGTAAAATATTTATCACCAGCATGTGGTAAAAATATACTAAATGCAAATCCGATAAGTGCCATGGCTGAAAATATCAATACTGCACCTAACGCAGATACACGTTGTAAAAATACTTGTCCTAGATAAGGTGATGTTAATACACCAATACGAAAACACGTTGACATAACACCAAACACAAAACTTCTTATACGTGGTACATATAAACCTGTTATATAAATTGCAGTCGCATTATTACCGGCGGATGCTACAGCTCGTGTTGCGAAAAAGAAGAAGCGTAATAGATTTGACGGCATGCAGAAAGCCTGAAATTGGTTGTAAAGAAAATGTAATAAAGTTACATTAAATAAAGTAATTCTTAGGAAGTTACAATAATTTGAGTTTGGTCTGCATTAAAAATGACTAAAATGACTTTTTCTGGTTAACGTATTTTTATCAGGGTTCTTTTTCTATGGAATTAGAAATCCATATTTTCCGGAAAACCATTGAAAATCAGGAAGAACAAGAACAATGTTTACTTTTCTTTTGAGGTCCTCAGAAGCTTTGATATTTTGTAAGGCTGGGTCTGTGAACTCAAGGGTCCCTAATGTGAACCGGTATTCAGTTATTGAATCAGTTGATGAAGTTTTTCAGTAGCCCCATAGTTTCCGATGACGAATTAACTTATCCGAATATTCAATAAAAATTTTGGTCAGTTTTTCATAGATCAATACTGTAGTTAAAAGACATTCACTTATACTTACATGGACATAGGAATCCATATTTCACAGTTCCATGCTAAATAGTGTACAATCTTATTGTCCAGTATAAATGTTTAACACTATATATTAATGTAAATCCGCCTGGGGCCCCTCTGGGGCTGCTGCCGGTTACAAGCTCGGATAAAGAAGGAGGGTGGGCATGAGGTTAGCGACTCCATCCCGTAGAACACTAACACTAGAAAAACGCTAACCAGAAAAAATATATATATGACCATAAGGAAATTTGATTATTCTATGCAAGTTAATTGATCGGGATAAATTTCTGGAGGTTCTTTTAGCACATTTACTTGTGATCCTGTAAATTATTTTGAAACAAATTGATAATAGTATCCGCAAGTAATATTTTTAAGATGAGACTGATATATCATAATTCTATTAATCTTATGAATTAGACATCCTTCTTCTGTCATTAAGATCATGAACCGATCGATGTTAAACCTATCAGTGAACACATGGAAGCACTGGACAGATGTTTCGTTTTGGTATGGGACTCGTCAACAGTGGGTATCCACGATCCCTCACATGGAATTCAAGCTTCTTAAAATTGTTAACTAAACGATTATTTTATTTAAATAGCCAATCAAGTTCGACTGTTGGCATGATTCATTTAACCCAGTTTCAGCGAATTAGAATGAAAAGTATGTTTATAAATAGGAAAGAATTCATGAGGTGAGCCAATTGGAGTAAAAAATGGACACTTATACATTCTGCTTAAATTTATGATTAATAAAATAAATTATCCAGTTTAACAAAATAGCCATAAATAAATGAATAAATCATCAGTCATTTTATATTGTGAAAAAATACACTTACTCTAGTAACTTACTTCAATAAATATTAGAAAAGCTGTTAAAAAGAAACAAGTGTTAATTGTCCATTTCGTCCAATAATTGTAATCAAAGTTAATGCTATTGGAAAACTAAGTATACTCCCAATCATAGATGACATTAAAGAGATATAACCTTCTTTTAACAATGGGAGACAACAATCTTCATTGTGTATACCAGAATTTTCATAAGTTTCATGTGGGACTTCTGTTAAACCTTTATAAATAGACTAAGAAAGATACAAAATCAAAAATAAAGTTAATTACACTTAAGTAAAAAACCAGTAACATTTGATTATGTAAGATATTTTGAGCATATGAATATTTGACTGATTAAGAAATTGAACAAAATTATACTGTTGTAAGTGATATATGTGAGACAAATTTTAATGTAGTTTATCAATGGATTAGTTTGTTTACTTACTAAGCTGTATTAATGGTAATGTTAAATAAAGATGTGATTTACATTCTCAATAGATAATAGTTGAAGTACCAATAAAAACTGTAGAGCAATCAGTGCGAGTTGTTTTCTAGTTTGAGGTTGCTCTGCTATGGGCATCTATGACATTTCATAAAAATAAGCCTAGGAAATTCAGCTTTACCTGATACACACTTCTGAAATACAACAAGCTAAAACAAAACAGTTCGTAGTCACCCAACATCAAGTAGTTTTTAGTTCAATATTCATTAACTTATGGTTATTAGTTAAATCAAGCTTAATCTTTTTAGTTGTACCGTTAATGATATGCGTTCTAGTACTTTAATTCACTTGATATGAAATATCGATTTATTAAAACTACTTATATATCGTTCAGTAATATACCATAATAATTCGAAAAAATAGTTTTACTCTACAAAAGCTCACGTTTTTGAGATTACAAGAATTCACTTGATGGGTGAATTATTCCATAGATAAACAAATTAGAGTGATTAAATCAACTTCAAGTCAGTTTAAAACAAATTTATCAGATTATAAACAGTTTACAACTTTAAGAAATGTGCTTCGTCACATCAAACTTTTTACTATTATTGGTTTCCGGTATTCTGACATCTTAAAGTTCAACGAATTGTTAAATAATAGTGTTAATTGAAGTTGAACAAGTAATACAGGGGATTCTAAATAAAGTAATTGAGATACTAATGGGAAAAAATGCTTCAAATAATTTGGAATACAAAACATGTTGTCATAGCAACCCAATATTATCATGTACGTATAAAAAATGAAATACTTAACTCCCGGGTAACATATTCTTTTCAATCTATCGATTTTCGTCTATATAAATAAATTATTTTTTTACGAAATGAACTAGAGAAATTTAGGCTACCGTTATTTTGTACATTATTATTTACATCAATCGATTTGATTCTGTAATGTCCTAGTGAAGATTCAGTGACGAGTAACTTACGAGAACTATTAATGGATTAATATTTTATATATATCGTTATTGTATAACTGTTCAGTAACTAAACTGTATATATCTATATTTCACTTATTATAAGCTTCATTTTGACCTATAGATTATTATTATACGATTTACTGTTCTTAATTTATGTTCAGTTTATTGATTACAGTCTTCCACGTTCACAGCTACTTTTTGCCTTGATCTTGTATAAATGTTATTTCCTAATTTATTGTATGATGAGGTTTGTTTGGCTGGTATATAAACCATGTATGTTTGAAATAAATGATTCGCATAGTGGGCGATGTTATTGATGTTCTGGACTCAGCTGGACAGGCTAAGCGAGCAACGGATCATTAAGGACGCTAGTCTGATCAGACCGGTCGAACGTCATTGGTTAGTATAGTACAAGAGTGAATAAATCGTATTTCGATTGGCGAATAAATTACGTGATAAAAAGCCGCATTTAAAGTCACAACTGATTCTATGTGCTAACATTTTCAGTTATTATTGATCCATCATAACAGTTAAAAATGTCAGCCAATGTCATTTCGCTTTGTTAAATTTACAAAGCACACATTTGACTGCTCAAAAGAAGAGTATCCAGAGCAACTTAAAACATTCTACCCTAAAAATAAATCTGTAGTAAGCACTGAAACTTAGTATGAAGGTCATTCACCCCGATTTTGGGGATCATTCTCTGGTAAGATCGTGAGTAGGCATTATGGAGGAGCTTCATACTAGAAAGAAACAAATATCTAGTGCGTACTGGTTTTTAAAGGTTGTCTAGTTAAAACCAGCAAATTATATGAAACTATAAAATTCAATAATATTGGTAAAATATTATGCTAAAAAAATAAGATACTTGGTAAAACAATAAATCGGTCCACGCTTCATATCTTATATCTATATTAGTTAGAAGTTTCTTAAGTTTGATAATTGTATTACCGTACGCTGTTACTAGTAGTGTATACTTTCAATGCAAACTAAGGTAATTAGCATATTTTCATCGATATTCATAGTATCTACTTACAAATACATCACATTTGAATTTGACCTAAATGAGTTACAGTGTGTTATAACGTAAAAATGAAAACAAAACTATTCGTATAAAATGTTCATATGTGAAACGGAAACATTATGCCTCAAATTTATTGTATTATTATAAGTAGTATAGTTAATAATCACAAAGAAAATACTTTTATTTTTATTTAGAAACCAATAAAATTACATAATATTAAATTATTACGATTCTGTTTACACAACTGTTGCTTTTATGAGTCAGTTATATCACTAAACAAATAGTTTCAACGATTTCAAATATAAATAAAATGGTTATCACCAACTCTAGTTAACTGAGAAGATATCTTTTTATAAACAATTGATTGTCACCGAAATATATATATATATATATTTGTTATGAAGAAAACAATTGAACAACAGGGTGTAGTCAAATCTAAGTTTATATAGTATTAATTATCAATCCTTTATTTAAATCGTCTTGTTGCTATGACAATGCATAGAAATAATTTTGTTGGGAGAAGTTTTTCCTTGTTTAATAAGCATATCAAAAAAGTACATAGTTTGTAAAATATTAAAAAGAATTAAACTGATTTTGTCAACTTAATAAAGTTTCACTATAAAAGCCTAAAGCATTTGTTTACATTATCACCACGTGATAAATTAAAAATTCAGTTAGACAGAGATGTTTACTGAGTATTTAAGTGGGAAAATGGTTTTTTTTTTTAAATCTTCCAGACTATTTATAAACGTGTCAATAATATTATTTAATGTATAAAATAGTACTTCTTTGTAATTTGCCCAATAAAATCCGATTTTCACTTCATCGTCCTTTGAATATATCTGTGTTTTTTTTCATATAAATGTAACATGACAGATAAATTCCGAAATGATATAATTTCGATCATACTACTGAAAAGTGTATTATACAATTAAACTCTGAATGTTTACATAACTATTCTGACTATCTGACTATCTAAAACACTTAAAAATCAAACTACAGTTAAAAATAAGTTTTGTTAAGTTATATATTTATTATTACTTTAATCTTCAATAGTTATGTGACTAATTTCACTTTACTTTTCATTCACCAACATTTCACTAATATTCTTTCTAAGTATACAATTTTACTTAGGTAGTACGTCGTCACTTCTACAAGACCTATATATAAGAAGTTCTATAATCGAACACCTTGTGAACACAGGTCACTTAATCAAGACAGACTCGGCGTTGAAAGTCATCTACAAGGTAAGTAGAAATCTTCCTAAGACAATTAGATTGCATCTTCTTTGCATTGCTGAAGCAATAGCTATACATCTGGAAAAACCAGAATTGTGTGTGCAAAAGAGACTGGTACAACCACTTCTTCTACCATGGTCTTAATGTATTAAAGTTTTCTCTTTTTTTCATACTTTTGTTCCTTAACAGCCATCTGCTTTACCTTCCATCTTCCCTTTAAATCTTCTACCCCCAACTGGTTTGTTTTTATTTCCACGATCATTCCGATTACATTTCATCTCTGTTTCAACATTTTATTTTATCTTATATATATATATATATATATATATATATATATATATATATATATATATATATATATATATATGAAGTCACTGACAAGTGGACTGAGTCATGTTGGTAGGTGTAGACTACATGGTTGGGGACCGCGAGATGATAGCAACCGATGGTTGGAGACCCTGAACGACATGGCTCAAAATCGTTTGCAATGGTGCAGGTGCATCTACTCTTTGTGTTCTCTCAAATTCTAATCTCCTAAATTCTCCTTGTCTCTTTTTTTCTCTTCCCAAATTTATTTCACCGTATTATACTCTTTAAATAACATCTTCAAACACTAATCTTCCCGATTACTGCTTATACTCTTATTACCTCTACCACTACGGGATTTGAATCGACCACTGCATCTCTGTGCCAATGTGGTATGGCAACTCGAACTGATGTACGTACGTACGAAGTTCTACGTTGTTACTGACTGACTAACTGATATATAACAGAAATGAATGATTACTACTTTCAGTATTCCTTTTTTTAGATAATAAATACAATTAAAATAAATATTTTCATCACTATTGAACATGTTGTAGTGAATTACAAAAAGTATTTTTTTTATTAAACAAACTAACTTCAATAAAACATTTCCCTATTGGTAATGTGTAGACATTCGTCTTCTTTATTGATTTATTTAACAAAATATTTGAGTTATAATAAATCGTCTATTGTGAGTCAGTTACTCAATCGTTCATAATAAGAAATTATTATAGGTCATCTCAAAACTTGGAATAAGTATGCAATTTTGGATTTAAAATAAAAACGAAATCTCAACAAATAATATAAACAATAAGTATAGTTTGAATTGTGTCAACAATCTTATTTTGGGAATTTAGTTATTGATATAAATTTAAAATATAAATTGTTTTAATAGAAAGTTTTTAAGTAGGTCGAAAGTAGTTTTTTCTTTAACCAAATGTATACTAAGCAGATCTTTAATCTTCATCGACTGAGATGGTTGGGCCATGTGTTGCGTATGTCTGAACACCGATTACCAAGACGCACAATGCTGACCAGTGTAGGGGATGATTGGAAGAAAGTTAGGGGCGGCCAAACCAAAACGTGGCATCAGTGCTTGAAGTCACTAACTTCTAGTCTGAGCCATGTTGTTAGATGCAGACTACTTGGTTGGGGTCCGCGTGACTATTGTAACCAGTGGTTGGAGACTGTTGGACAATGCTCAGAATCGATCACAATGACGTCGGTGTATACAGTCTATGTCTTCCTTAAACTAAGAGACTAAA